TTGAGCATTAGAGCTGTGTCTAATATTGATTTTCATCTATTGTTCAAACCTTCAGCACATTCATTGAATTATGGTTTAGATTTCATCTACAATTTCAAAAAGAGCTAGAAAAGCTCATTCAACAACCCAATGGGTCAAGCAATCACAACTGCAGCATTAAGTCTATATCCACGTTTGGCAAACTGTAAAAAAAGAAAAGAAAAAAAAAGTGCAAATACTCAATTACACCAGAGACATATGCACCATAATCAACAGAACATTTTACAATAAAGTTCAACTTCTTTTGCAATACTTTTACAGCATTTACTAATCATGGTTAGTGTTCATTTCTTTATGTACTAATAAATATTAACATTGCAAGTGGTATAAATGAAAAAGTATAGTATATATATATATATATATATATATACTGTTTATATATATATATATATATATATATATATATATATATAATCTGTATTCTTAAAATAAACTTTAATTTCAAAACTTCATTTCTTAATTTCAAGGAACAAAATCCTCCTACCTGCAAAGCCCTTCGTTTAAACATGGAGGGCTGAAAGATGATGATGGGACAATTGTTTGTTTAGCTTCATGAACCCCTGGGATTTCAGGTTGACCATAAGCATTGCAGTGCCCCATGTTTGCTGTTAGCCAATTAGAGCTATCATTAAAGGCAGATGCTCCATGGGAAATAAAGGCAGTCAAAGTGGTGCCTGTGGATCATGATGACTTCTTCGCTAAAGCCTTGTCAATGTGGAAGGTAGCCAGCACCAGGAATCCAGAGGGACACACTGTCCTTTACTCCTTTCCTCAACCTCTATATCATCAGGATATGGTTTGTCTTCAGCCTTTTTTATTTTACGGCATTGAGAATTACTGTAAGATTACATCAAACCTCAGCCTTAATCGTCTGTCTATGAATGTCCCACCACTCCACTGTCTCCTACTAATTCAAGCCCAAAACTGTGGTGGGAAACAAAAGTTAGGATGCAAATTATTCATAGCATTATTATTTACGTTTTGTCCTCCTCAAGTGTCGTCTGTTGTAGCATTTTAATATCAACATCTTTGAGAGATTACCCATTTATAATGTCTAAAATTTAGATGCCATAAATGAAACACTTGTGTAGAAAGACACATATTTCTCCATATGGGAAACTGCTGTATCTATCGTTGCAGAGCCATAAATAAACTCTTGTGGATCTGGATCACACAACCACATTCCTGAAGAACAGACGAGTAATGCTTACCACTGTAAAACCTGCTCGCTCTCTTTCATCAGACTCAAGTTCATGAGAACTTCTCAACAGGTGGAAGGTCTGCACTCAATCAGCTTTGCCAAAGCAAGCACTTTGTCTTTCATCGACAATGCTATGTAGCTTAAAATACCTCCACCAAGAAGTCCCCCAGTGCCGTTGCATTTGTTTGTGTTCATTTTATGTTCTTGCCTAATGGGTATTAGTCGAAGTAGACTGCAAAAAATACTACTTTCAATTAGCATTTTTGTCTTTTTTTTCCCAGTTTTCCAGGTACATTTTTTAACTACTGAAAAAGGTGTGACTGCAGTAGGACAAAAATACATTTATATTAAAGATATTCTCTGAAATCAAGTCTTAATATCAGTATTAATATGCAGTGTTGCTTCTCAAGTGAATTTATTTTGTTTCAAGGTAATTCTTAGATATTTTAACAGGAAAACAAGTTAAAAAAACAACTACCGGTAATTAAAACTGTTTTGCAATGTACATTCAACACGCTCTCTACCGTTAGTTTTATATTCTCATAGTTTGCACTTCTAAACCTATGTTACATAGACTGTGTGATCAGATTACAATTTTTTTTTTTTATTAAAAAAAATAATATGAGCATTGATTGACCTAACCATGAACATGTCTCCTATTATGTCCTTCTGAGTATTCTGCTACCATTTCAAATGAACACATTCTGCGAACAAGACCCTGTGCATCTCCAGTGGGTCCACGTCTAACGCAGCTCTAAACGAAATCAGATCTGCCTTTATTAAAGGGCATTTCTGCTAAAGGAACCTGGCTTGCTTCATTAACTTACAGCGTCTCCCTGGGAGGAAATTTAATATTGTTAGTAAAACGATCTCAATTTTCTGACAAGAAGCCAATGCCATCACAAGCATAAATAAATTGGTATGTTGTCAATATTTTGACAGCCGTCATGACGAAGAATCATTATCTGTTGAAAGTGATGGAGAAGACTTAATTGAAACATGCATAATTACGCGCTTGTTTGTAGTGAGGTGTCTGCATAAAGTGTTAGTGGAGTTGTGAAAGTTGCTGTGAGACAGATCTTTCATCTGCAGATCTTATGACCTCTTGGAACCAAGAACGTAAGCGGATACCACGGCATCCCGGCGAAAACATCTTTCACAAATCAATTCATTACGCCCAACTCTCAGCAGTTAAAAGCCCTTCTTTCTTGCATCAACCCATCCCCCGACCACTGACCACAGTCCTGACATTGTCTCACGCAGCGGTATCAGCTTTCCCCTGCCAGAGAGATAAATGGCTCAATGAATTGAAGGCAGACCTCGATCAAAACCGCTTATGTATAATACAGACAACCACCATCAATAAACTATTTTCATAATAAATCTATCTACTTATCTACCCACCTATCTACCCATCTATCTATCTATCTGAGCTGTGATGATATATCTGTCTGTCTAATTCAGTAACATTTTACAATAAGGTTTAACTTTGCAAGTTTGCATGCAATACTTTTACAATTTATTAATAATGGTTAATGATCATTTCTATATGCACTAATAAATTATAAGATTTACTGCTATAAATTCTTAATATGTATAATATTTAAAAAAATAAATAAACGCATATAAAAAAATATCCACCCATCCATTCAACCATCCTAAAGTTGACAGTTGTGTTTAGAAAATAATTAGCTCTATTCCTTTCAAATGTATCTAGCCATTTTCACAGCCTCAAAACACATCTAGGCAGTGCTAATCATCAAACGCTCCGTCGTAGTTTTCTCTAGCCTTAAGAGTGCTGATCCAAGGTCAGTTCTAGCGCCTCATTAACATTTAGCTCATGGGATTAGAGAAATTTTATGACATTAGCAGCACTCTCTAACTTGCAATCAGGCCCTGCATGCTGTCGAAAAATATTATGAAATATTCCTCAATGAATTAATATTCACTAATGCTTTATGAATATAAGCTAAATGCTCAGTGATTAGGATCATTATTCTCTCTGTTAGGAGTAACAGTCTTTCAGCAAAACACTGACAGTGTGATGTGAAAGGCTTTAACAAGTACCTTTTTATAGCGTGTTTGATTTGACTTTGAGCCTCTCCATTTGTCTTTCACAATTGTATGGTTTTTAAACCCAGGTGTTTATAGAGATACCTCAATTCCAAGCAGACTTTTGAAATATTAAAATCCATAGCATGCAGTTAAGTACATGAAGATCAAAAACAACCAAATGTGTATAATTATGTCAGCTCTTCAATTTAAAGTAGACTGCTAGATGATTTATCGGCAGGTGCTCCTGTGCAAGGATTGTGACCGTACTCATTAACTGTCATTGAATGCATATCGGCAGAGCGCCGCCCTGCTAGTGCCTGCAATGAGCGGCTATCATCACAGCTCATCCTGGACTAGACGGGGAGCCGGGGTGGTAATTACAGCCAGGCTCATGAAGAGGCTGAGCGAGTATGTGTGTGTCTGTCTGTGTGAGTGGGTGCGAGAGGGAGGGAGGTAGGGGGGGGGGTCTGAAACACAGGTGGGCGTTTTATTGTGTCGTCTGTGTCAGCATGGAGCCTGTCTGAAGGCTGTCGTTGCCGTGGGAACAGGGCCCGCCGTCGGGCGAAACGAGAGCTCCCACTGTAGTGCGAGTTGAATTACAGGTGAGGTAGGCTGAAGGAGAGGAGCACTGGGGTTTGGATAAGAAACGATCAATACGCTCACACGCTGTGAAAGGGCCAGCTTACATTGATGCTGCACAGGGATACTGTGAAAGGGAAAAAAACAGCCACACTACCCACATCAACATGTTTGAGTTGCCTGGGATATCACAGTGAAACCACAACATCAACAGCGGGCCATTTCTAGAGCTTCAGCTTGGTAGGAAACACGTGCTGTAGCTTGTAGGTCATTTACAAAAAAAATGTACAATACAAACATCTAAAAATCCTTAAAATATGATTAATTTAACAAAGCAAAATTGTTCCGATTAAAAGGCCCAGTCACACCAAGAACGATAATTATAAAGATGACTATAACGATTACTATGTTAGCATTCACACCAACACACAATTTCGTTTTGTTTATTAAGCAAGGGCTGTTGTTATGTTGTCTGCCTCTTTAAAACGGATGGATTCTGATTGGCTGTCAATGTTTTCATCATTCATCAGCTGGAAAACATACTTGTGAAAATGAATCCAACAATATTGTTATAGTTGTGGTGTGCTATTCTTTTACATTTAGAACTATTTTTAAAACTATATCTTTATCATTATAGATATCGTCCTTGGTGTGAGACTTCTTTTCACAGAATATATCTTAAATTATAAAATTCTAATAATTGCAATTATTTGAATTATTTATAATATAATATAATGTATATATTTATATAAAAATTCAAATGTTGCCATTTTTTTCTTATAGCATTTGCTACGGCATAAAGCCAATATTTTGTTAATTACGCTTAAAACAAAACAAAAATTTTGCCAATGGGGTGTTGCCAAAATATACTCTCTGAGAACAAGCCTTAAAATATACTGGAATTTTGTTTTAAGAAAATGTATAATGTTTTAAGGATGCATGTTTTTGCAGCATAATGAGACTACAAGAAAAAATAGCTGAAAAGACGACAGATAACCAGAACACACAGACAAGCAAACAAATACTTTTCTGCTTTTTAGGGTCAGTAGCAGCTGTGACCAAAAAATGAAAAGAGTTTTGTGCAACATGACAAGACCATTACACATTAGCAGAAAATCATGCTTACCTCTGCAAACAGTTCCATTCTCCACAGCCTCGTGCCCTGCTTTACACATACATCGGCCAATAGGGACCATCCACTCTCCATCTCCATTACAGTACAGTTTAATGGGAACGTCGACCTCCTCGGCATTAGGGACGCACACTCCCCTCGCCGCCACCAGTGAGGTGCTCTCTGCTCCCGAAAGCGTCTCCTGAAATATCGCTCCGTTGCGGATGGTGCGAGGGCACTTCCGGTAGAACACTCGCACGGCGATAAGCGACATGCACCCGCCGTAGTCCTGGAAGGCTAGGTAGAAACCGTTACGGGAGACGGGGCCGAAACTGCGAACCTCTGTGTTAATCTTCATCACGCGTCCGCCCAGGTCTACTTGCGAGAAGCTCTCATCGGCCGCAATGGTATCCACCTTGATCCAAGGGTTTTCCATCCATGGGGGAAAGACTTTGGTGGCCGTGTCGGAGTCTGATTCATAGTAGTAGAGGTTGAAAGTTTCCTTGCAGGAACCAGGGACTCTTGGGATGCTGCTGCAGTCTCGTACTGAGAACTTCATCTCCACATGAATGCGTTGAGCACCTCTTCGGCGGATGTACTTGGTGCGCACCCAGTTATTTTGGTTGGCGACAAAGACATTACACACCTGATAGGTACGAATGGTGTTCATATTCTCATCGTAGCCACTCACTTCTTCCCACTACAAAGAAAATGAGAAAGCAAAGGTTTACAGATTTGATTTACATCCAAGTTTGTTTGTTTTTGCCTCTAGACAAGAAGAAATGGGAAGGGAATGGGAAAAATGCTTTATTTACTACCATGGTTACATTTTAGCCGTTTACATTTATTGGTATGAATTATTAAATATGTGCTGTGACAAAAATGCCAGGTTAAGAACCGGCTACAGGTAAAACAAATAGTCAATCCCTTCTCATAGATCTAGCTAGATTTAAACAATGATCTGACAGCAGAAACTATCATGTTATAGACACATTTGTATCTCTGCATCAAATATCTGGAGGGATTTACAAGCACCTGAACCATTTTCAGCAGCTTTCCCCATATGCACAGGCCAGATTACTGAGCACAGGAGGAATGAGGTGGGAAAGAGAGCAAAATTCTCCTGCTAGACTGGCAACAGGCCCTGGCACTAGGCATAGAGAGGACTGGCACTGGCTTGGGTTTCCTGTAGACCCCCACATTGCAGTGCCAAGCGATTCTGGTCTCTATTTATTTTTGTCTCTCTCACTCACACTCAATTTCTTGCACTGTATAAAAATATGTACTATTAATATAGCTCAGACGGAGACAAAAAGAAAAGGTGATACACTTTGATGTTTACACAATCATCTATTTTTTGCTCTGCTGCCTCTTTTCTGCCCTCAGGCAGCTTAAAAATGGAACCAGCATTAGCATTATTAAATTATTTCCCTCACAACGAGAAAACAACCGAGTATAGTTTAGTGAAATTAAACAAACATGCTGACTCAACAGCAAAACTAACAACAACAAAAAGGGAGTGTATTAAAGGGATAGTTTATACAAAAAAATCTCACTCATGGTATGGATTAAAAAAAAACTAAAAATAACTTATTTTCCAAAAAAGAAAAAGTCATACAGGTGACATGAAAGTGAGTAAATCATCTCAGAATTATTATTTTTTTGTAACCTATCCCTTTAATTAGAGACGAGACAAGAAAGAAAAAAGAAAAGAAAAGAGAATGAAACGAACAGAAACGAAAAGAAATGCAGAATATTTACCTTCAGTTGACCTACTGATCATTAGTGTAACATCTCACATAAACACATAAAAAAAAATCCATCCCGTTGAACATTACAAACCTAAGATAATCAAATTATACGGAAAGCATTTGATAGAGTGAAAGAGACTTTACAAGTAAAATTTACAAGTATATATTGCGCAGACTAAAGCATGAAGGGAACACGCACCAGGGATTTCACTGCTCGGCCTAAAGTGACTCCAGATGACTCCATTGTAGTTTTCAGCCAACTTGCCTGCAATCAAGCCACAGGCTTACAGCACTAAACAACTCAAATACCAGGCACAGAAGTCTTGACCTAGTCCAAGAGGGAAAGCCCTTTTCTTCACCTTAAAAAACATTTTCGCACCACAGCCTCAAAGCCCAGCAAGCGATCACCCAAACCCTCCCCAAATCACCCTCCCCTTGAGTGTTATACTCTTCACTTAACAGTTGACATAATTTCTCAAATTAGTTTGCTGCTTAACAAGGATTTTGACAGAGTTTTGACAGACTGGGGGAGAAAGTCAAGCCTGTCCAAGACCTCCATTCTATCAAATGATCTTGGACTAATTAAAACAGCATTCTTTCCTTGCAGCTTTTGTTCTTTATTCCCATGTCCCTGTTATTCGGCTGAGATGAACTGAAGTGATTCTGGATAGGATTGTGGTCATTACCACTTGCACTTCGTGTGTGTGTGTGTGTGTGTAAAATTAAGTTTTCCATCACTTCAGCTCAGTCCTTTCAAGCAACCAGATGTGTTTTGGGTCACTGGCAGCCATTGACCTTGCCACCTTTCTTAAGGATGACACATTCTTCCATGAACCAGAAAGGGGTGAGAATGAAGGGTAGTTAAACAAGAGAAGACAGGGTGTAGCATCCTCTTGTTTGTAGTCTGTCACTCTGACTAATCAAATTAGAAAGAATTTATATAAAACCAATGTTGCTAATGAGAGACTGAGTAAGCGCATACCACATGATGGTCCAAACAAACAGCCTTTAAATGGAAAGCCTCCCTTTGTGCTGTCTCGGCTTCCCTGCCACTCTTTCATCAGAGGCAAAGAGGAGAACCAAATGAGACATAATAAGAGCCAAGCGATCAAGCACTGAGTGTGAAATTAGAAGAAACATCTTAATTTCCATAGGTTTTCTCCTGGACTTTCAGTGGGAGTGTGGCTAAAGGGAGACCATGTTTTTTAAGAGGGATTCATTAAAAAAAAAATTTGGCAGGAGAAGTATGTAATATATAAGCAGTCTTTTTAACCTTTATTGTTAAAAAACTAAATACTAATGAATATTTTATATATTTTAACTATTAAACAAATAAACACAATTATTGATTTTAATAAGTTCAAATAAATAAAATTATTGATTAAAATTATTGATTTAATTAGTTAAAAAAATATTTTTTTTAATAATAAAAAATATTTTTTAAGTTATATTGTGTGTGCTGAAAAAATATTTTAAATACTACTCTATTTTTTAAAATAGTCAATAGTTATTAAATGTGAAATATAAACTACTGCTTCCTCCTGAATCTATGGGTATATACCGCTCTCACAAGTGTTAAGACCCACAAGAAGAGTCTGGCTGCCCTCTGGTTAAGAGGTCAGAGTCTTACATAGGGGGGAACTTCAGCAGTGGTGCATCACTGGCTTGTGTTCCTATACTGGCACCCACATATAAAAGTATGCCGCCATTAGGTCTAAGGGCTCGAGCTATGCTTTGAGGGTCACAAGCAAATATAAGAAGGACCATTACAGAGACTGCTAGGGCAGAACCCAGAGATTCAGTCCACTGAATGAGAACACAACCTGGTATTTATTGGCCCCACATGCTCCTGATCTGCAGTCTTTAAATCATGACAAGACATAGCTACTAACTGTATTCTGTGTTCTTCTCTTAATCTACTGTCCTATAATAGTTCAACTAGACATTGCAGGCTGCGTTATATTAAGCAAAGCATCACACTATATATCATAGTTAAGGTTAAGGATTTGAATATTCAAAGATATCGATCATAAGACCTTAAAATGTTGTATTCACAAAGTGAATTTGCTTTTCTGGTAAAAATGACAGTTATACTGTACAAAATAATAGGAATTAAATTTGACTTTAAAGTGCGTTCTCAATTTAATTCTGAATGGTGCACAAACCTATACTAAATAATAAACAGTGACATACATTATCCCATAACATTTGTGCTAAACCTGCTAAAAAACTTTCAGAACACTAACAACATCACAACATCCAGATAAGAACCAACAGCATGAGCATTTATTAAATTAAAAACAGTTCTGTCTTGCTGTTTTTGGATGCAAAAATGTGTCCTCAGTGAACATCCTTAATAATGATGATAATACTTTGGCAAACAGAATGTTTTAGCTATATGACCAATCTTGTGTAAACAGTGTCTTCGGCATAGAAAAGTATCTCATTTCAATAAATCGTGCACAAAAAAAACTGGAAGTCACAATTGAACTGAATTAAACTTGTAACTTGGACTGGGAAAAGGATCTCTGTGATAAATGGCACACTGTTCTTGTGGACAGAAATTTAGAAACGATAACTCCCCTGCCACCCAAGACGAAGGAAAGTTCACAGCCGAGCTGAGATCTATAAGTCTCCCAGACAGAGGCTCTCCCGGCTAGAGCGGAGCCGCACGCTTGTGCTGAATTATGAAAAAGGCTCGCTCCAGGGGCTGCAGATGTTGGCCGTGATCAAACTTTTGTGTTATATTAATTGTTCCACTATGACACGGCTCTGAACTTTTATGTGGACTTCTGCATCTTTTACAAATAAACTGTCAGAACCTTATGAAGTTTACATGAAGCCAGCAATTAAAGCTCTCCCAGGGCTGTCATTTGTATTCAAGCATTTGTCGAGCGGTGCAGATGAGTCCTGTGAAATATGCTGACTCCACATCTCAATGCAAAGCGCTCTTTGGACTCAAAGAAACACATCGTAAATCTGCATAAATAAATCCTTCACGCAGAGGGACGAAAGGGAGCATGTATGACAGCTCCTGAGGGAAAGTTTCCCAATTTGCAGTTGTGGGAAATCTGACAGATAGAGTCACATTGAGACATTTGTCCTGAGGGGACGTGTGGGACAAATGACATCCGGATATTTCAGCTGAAGTGCAGTGGGATTACAACCCTAAGCGAGATACTGAACTCACCACCATTAGAAAGATTGACAGAGGGACAGAAAGTGATTGAAAAAAATGAGGCGACCTACAAACTGAGCCGTCTTTGGCAGTCAGCTTCAATTACCTCCATCTACTGGTAATGCACAACATCTGAAGTAAGACAAACAAGCTTCCTATTGCTTCTTTAACCCTTGTGTCTATCTATATCCATGTGGATCATGTTTACATAACTCATACGAATCAAGGACATGACAAAAGAGTTTTGCTGGCGAAGGGCGGCTTGTTTCAATCTTGACGTGACCACACATGATTCCCTGATGGTGGAACCCCAAAATAATACAATAGTTTTAGACCGATCCACATTAGAACTGATTTCAGGACATTTCTTGAACCAAATTATTTAAGGTGGTTCTTATAGGTTTGTGTTGGTTGAAACATCTGTTTCTTGATGACTTAATCTAGCTCATGTCATGCCAATCAGAAATTCTGAAACTACATGCTTTTTTAAACACCCCATTGACTTTCATTGTATGGAGAAGAAGTTTTTTTTTCTAAATATCTGTCGTCTTTCACAAAAGAAAATCATACAGGGTTGAAATGATGAGGGTAAGTAAATGATGACAATATTTCCATTTTCAGGTGAAATATCCCTTTAACAGAGGACATTTGTGAGCATGTTCCCTTTCATTTCATTGTTCATCATTCCTCGCAAAACAGACAGAAGCAGTTCATGAGCATGCAAATAAAGTCACAGATGATTAATGACAGTGTTAGATCTGGACCTTGAGGCAGTCAAGTGAGGGCCACACTATCACACTGATTAGTTACACGAATGTACTAGCTTATTTTCATGTTCTGCATCAGTAAGCAATGAGTCTAGATGCATGACCAAAACTGGGTTTGAACATGTTGGCATTTACACACATTTGTAATGTCTCCTGCAACGCTGTTCTCTAACTAAGCTGGTAATGACTTAATTTACAGCCTCATGAGGATGTGTACACAGACTGCACACACCATTGCTGTTATAAATTAAAAATAAGTCATCCTTAAATAAAATGTTTACATTACATAAAATGCTCCCAGAGAGGCATAAGAGAAAATGGTCTTTTTACGCAATAAAACAACCATTTATAAAGTGCCCTTGAAAAAGCTGGAAAAAAAAACGTTAAGCTTTTTGTTGATTTAAATTGTGAGGTTAACAGAATGAATCAAGAGGTTCACATATGCTGCTTGCTTACTGAAAATGCTCTCCAACTTGACATTTTCTCTACCACTTACTTTGTTTGTTTTTAGAGTGAACACAGTGTTATCGTAAAGAAAGTGTCTGATTCTGTGTAGCTGCTCAAATCAGGGGTTGCATGCCACTTTACAGTTAGACAGCCAAAAATCTAACAGACCAAATTTAAAGCCAGCAAATTCCACCTTTGATTTCCAAAAAGTCTTTAAATTATTAAAAGACATATGAAATTATAACATACGATTTTAAAAAGCTGATGTGCAGTTCCAAACACGTAACTATACAGAGACATGTGGAGTAATAACTACAGTCAAAAATAATAACAGAAAGCATGTGCTGTTGTATGAAGTATGTGCTCCTCACACCTGGCTGTGATAAAGGGTTACCATAAATCTTTCTTTAATGTAGGTGTTAACTTCCATAATTACACTGTTCAATACAGTATTCCACCTGCACAAACCATCAAGGGGTTTAGAATAAATGCAGGACACAAATGTGAATGAATGAATGAAAGAATGAATGAGTGAATGAACAAACCACATCTGGATTTTTTCTTCTTGACAGTTCGGCAACAGGGGTTTGTTTTGCAAAGCTATTCAGTGGCATGTAGGCCAACTGTTGATGGAGTGCTCTATATTTTGACTGACACTGATACTTTAGTTAAGCCCACAAGGCTCTGCAGGGGTGTAAGACAATAACTTAAAGCCTTTCTCTCTCTAAGGTTTACAGAATCCCACCTGTTTAGTGCTGCTGCGGGGAACCGCCATGCCCTGACTTAAGTCAAAGTGTCCAATGCCTTGGTAGAGACTATTCTCTATATCTTGTTTCTTTTAAGAAAATGTATATGCTCTTTGAAAATATGTGGTGTCAGACAGCAGAATAACCAAAAAATGAATCTGAGGGAAAGTTGGAACAATCACTAGCATTCCTTGCTGAAGAATCTATTTCCTCTGAGACGCTGGGGCCATTTTGGATATCTATTCTATAATTGCTGAATGTGTCAGAACAGCAAATAAGTTTTGCATCTGAACCAGGCGAGATTTAATTTCACACTTTATATCACGACATTCCCTCCGTCTGTGTAGCTATTAGCTGTGGTATTGAAATGTTTTGTTAATTCTTCGGAGTTGTAAAAATGAAAAAGATGTGATGACACAAAGCATGTGTAATTCCGTTTCTTTTGTTACAGAGGAAAAGGAGAGGTGAATCTTATTCGGTGCAGATTGAATCCAGAGCCTCAGACCCGAAGACACCAGACCTCTTTGTTCTTTTATATTGATTGCTCTAATCAGTACAGGGGGGAAAAAAGCTGCGTGCCCTCAGGTTCGAAGAGAAGATGGTGAGCAAAATGATTTCTAAAGAACTTTGAAGTTGCTCAAGCCACATTGTCAGCCTTCTATCTTCTTTTCTTCCTCCATTTTTTAGTCTTTCTGTCTCTCTCAGTCTTCCATTTTTATTTTACTGCTTCCAGACGCATGGAATGCTATAATTTAAACCATCCCCCCAAACAGACACAGAAGCATAAATAATTGAATAAAATAGGGAGTGGTTTTTTAGAAATACACCAGCAAATTACTCAGGAATATATTTTTCTTCCCCCGATCTGTTCGGAAGAACATAGATCTTGGTGTGGGGGAGGAGACGATTAATTACTCCCTGACCAGTGGGTGCTGAGCAGGCATGAGCCCACATGAATGAAACCTAGTCTTTGTGGCAATATATGGTAAGGATTCACATACAGTTTCTGTCATAATCATCAGAGTAGTAGGATTAATTGATCATTTCATGTAACCTCAGTAAACGGTGAATTATATAAAAAAAAAATCTGTTAATATAGACACATTAAGAGAACTTACACTATTGTCACTTGTCCCCGACACCGGATATACTGTCCAGCCAAGCTCTGCGGTCGCTGTGGTGGAATCCATCAACATTTCTGTGGAAGTAGGAGGAAACATAAAAAGGTTAGGCTACACATCCAGGTCATGCTTTGTACAATGTTCAATGTCTGTGAGTTCATATACAGATATCACCCACAGCATCTAGCAATCTATCATTTATCTTAAACAGAGTGAGGGAAATTGCTAATGTTGTCTCGACTCTCGAATAATTCCAAGAGGTTCCTAAATGACAAATAAACCCCGAAAAAAACAGACTCTGACGTTAACACCAAATATAGAGCTTAATCACTTTTTATCCCCAGTCTTTGCTTAAGGAAATGCTGGGGAAGAATAAAAACCTATGAATATTTCATATATTTCCATGCATTAACATCATTCTTTATCCAGACATTTATAGAGGCTTGTGATACCACTTAACCAACTGCTCCATAAAATACTATCAACACGTTTGACACGAATCAGCCTTAAATCTGTTTCGATATTACAGCTGTCTCCAGTAGTAAAGATGAAAAATGCTGTAAAATCAAAAAGTGGGCAGGAAACAGAGGGTTCTGCTTCCCTGCTGTGTGAACAGCACACTATCAGGCTCCACCACTGCAGAGGTTACATGGGTACAGGATGTAGGTAAGCAGTTGGACAACGATGAGATAACCACCAGAGACATTTTAATAACGACATGGCAGCATATTGATACTGAGACCGGCTAATATTTTACAGACCTTACAATGCCTTTGCAGGCAAATGTGCATAAATATCCAAAACATGCATATTGCATCGTTCTAGCCATAGCTAAATTTGTGTTCAGATTTACTTCTCTTATCACAGTACTAGGGATGTCACTAACGATTATTTTGGTAATCGAGTAATAGAGGGTTAAAACTTCATTTGGAAATCGTGATGAACAGTTCGCATATTTACAAAGTTATTGATGTATTCTACACATCGCGTTCCCAGATGAACGTTATAAGCAACTCAAACTCACAGCATATGCAGAGATTGAGTTTGAGATGCGCCACCACACATGTAAATGATAAAAGTTCATGTGGAGCAGCATTTACTGTGAACGGAGCTGCTCTGAGATGCACGTAAACTACACACATGTAAATAAAGTACATATATTAAACCCGCAGGGCATATATTTATTTAATTGAATCGCAGTCTTTTTCAGTAAATTGCAATCGAGGATTTTTTTACTCGAATTTAATCGAGGAATTAAGACAGTCCTTCACAGCACACAGTTTGGGTCACCATTTATATGTGTACAGAATTTGAAACCACTTGAAAAGACCATTTTCATGCCAAACAAAGCAAGTGAATTTTAATTTGGTTTGCTCATACTGCGTGATAATATGAAAGCTTATTTAAAATATATTGTAGTTGAGTTTTTCAAATATTGTAGTTGAGTTTTTCAAATATTGTGACTAAAATATGATTCTGCTGCCTCCTAATATTTTGGGGGATTAAAAAATTTGTAAACTGTGCTTGCCGTTGATGCTAAATCCCACATTTTAAAATATAAATCTAATAATGGTGACAGCAAAAGAAAAAAAAATTATAAATAAAAATCACTAAACAGGTGTAGAGCTGCCTCATCAATATTCAGCATGGATATAATGGCTTTTAAATCAGTTATCACTCAAAAAGCTCCATAAATAGCCCCTCTGCGTACATTTGCATCAAAAATGAATGTGTACATTCTTCTTCCTTGCATAAAACATTGATATTATACAGTTTGTATAGTGACAAGTATTTTATGCATACCTTCATAGTAAAGAAACTGCAGATTTGAGTGCCATTGAAAGGGGAAGAATTATAATCAGATGAAAGATGCCCATTTGGTTGAGTAGAAATCAATCTAATAACAATTACTTCAATTACTCCAGCTGTTCAACATCAGCTCAGACCTTCAAGTAACAAGATTAGCCAGCCTTTCACCCACTCATTCTGTGCTGAGACTGCTAGGTTGGAGAGAAAAAAATCTAGTAACTGGAGGCCAGTTACTCTACTTCTACTGATTAGTTGGTGTTAAAGAACATCTCAAGTAATTGGGGTCAAAGAGAACACATTTTGCCGTCTGGGGTCCTCAGAGGCACAGGGATGATAGTTCTCAGTTCAGATTGGCCTTCAGTCATCCCATGTGAATATTCCATGTTATCGCATTGATGGCTTAATTAATTTCCTCTAGTAATTAGAGTAAGACTAAGTTGTTAGACTTTTGAAGGGAAATAGAGGAAGTTTGTGTTTTATCACAGTCAAATGCAGCTGTTTTGACTTCCTTTTACAAGCATCAGAGTACAAAACGTCTTTCAGAGCCTCAGCTTGAGGCCAACTAATTACCAGTCTTAGCTATTGGAAATACTTATTTATTTACAGAATTTTCATTAATCTTGCATTAGGCTATTTGATCATTTTAAATGTGCTTTCGAACGCTGGTTGCAATTAAGACGGGCCTTTAAAACGACAGCGATTTTGAAGGAAAACAGTAAGTGTACTGTTTGGGGCTGTGCAGAGGAACGCAGCCTTTCGGGCATGTCTCTATACCTCAGATTCCCTCTGAATTATATTCCAGGAAAAACCAAAAGCATTCAATGAAAAAAACTACATGTGGGTCCAATTTATTTGAAAAAGGACATATTCCATCTCTAAGGCACACAAATTTAAGCTAAATTACATGATTATCACTAAGCCTAAAATTTATACTCAGACTCATGAAACTTACTCTGGATGTCCATTCATAGCAGTCTAAAATGAAGATCTGCTTTCAGTTGGTACACAGGGGTGAAATCAAAATGCAATTATAGGCCATAATAAACAATAGAATTGAAAAAGTGGCAAAGTGAATTTTCTAACCTCATGCCGAGTACTTGTGGGCATGTGGTCCTTTATAAAGCACCATGAGTGCATTGACTAGCGGTGAGGTAAACATTCTTTCCCTTTCATAAGCTCCTGTGCTTTATAAGCTAGGCCTACTGCTTTTTGCAGTCTGGAAGAGTGATGCACTGCCTGTCCTGTACCGTACGATGGATAACCCCCCAAACAGAGGCCTCATGCGTACGCAGAGCCAAGCTAGAGATTTACGACTCCCCGCAGTTATGGCCGTACCTCACTGCTACGACTTGCTTCCAGCTCTTCATCCTCTGTGACGAGGTAAACCAGAGGGGTCTCTCGGCTCCACAGGACTCTCTTATGGACTTTTTGAAGAGAGTAGTGGATGTGGCACCATGAGGATTGAATGTGTTTATGCTCACACCACGTCTGGAGGTGACAACACATTCCAACCAGGGCCTATGAATAAGCCTGAGTCATTGGAAGGTTCAGCACAGACACCATTTTAAGACCCAGGAGGACGCGTGAGTTTAAGCTTTTCAACAGGAATGATTTTTATGAATTTTCCCAATGTGAATATGTAATGGTAGGAGGAGCTTTCTGACCGCTTAGTAAAATACCTTCTCATAGTATAATGGAGTTCAAGACATCTTGCTTATGCTTTACACTCATATTACTAGCATTTTACCCGAGTTTGTGGTCCGAATTGAGTGTGATGAGATAAAAACAAAGTGTTTTGCGAAATGATTTACACAAAAACAGTGCAATCCTATTCATGAATAAATGACTCTTATAATCTGTTCTTTTAAGTAAACTAGAAACATACAGCACAACTAATACAGTCTGATTCATGAACAACTTACTCTTTTGAACCACTCCTTTTAAACAATCATTCAAAAAGACTTCAAAGTCAGTGTGAAGTTAAACACTATATCATTTGAATCATTCTGACGAATCCACTGAACTCACTGAATCCATCTGGTAATATATTCAAACACAGTAAAAGCAGAGATGATACAGATATAGATGATGCATAGATATTGATGAAAACAGAGAGATTTTGAGGTTTTCTACATACTTTCATTTAGTAGTTTATAACCAAAGTGTTCATAACTTGTTAACTTGTTAACATACAAGTTAAATGTAATTTAAAGCTTATTTTAAATTTTGTTTCTTGATTGTGTTGATTATTATATTTGTTAAATAAATATGTGAAATTTACCCAAATGAATTGTAAACGAATCCATTTTGAACTGAATTGAAAGCTTGTGAATCTGAATCTAAATCAGGCCATATGTATTGATAACCCAGCCCTTGATTTCGCTGGGATTTAGGGTGCCATGGCATTTCATCCGAAGGTTAGAAAGGCCAGCTGTTCATTGCAAGGCTGTAAACAAAAGGAGCCTCTGAACACCAGTCCACGTTAATTGATAGGAAACAGGATCCTTTCAGACCAGGGATTACCGTTGGGAAAATTGATTGGTCAGCAGCTATGCTCCTGAGCCAGAAAGTGGCACCTGTTAAAATTGCTACTTTTAAAAAGGCCACAGAAAGTTATTTGGGGAACGCTGCCGTGTAAAATGGCTACACGGATCATTAATAGGAGGGTCTGTTTATTTGGGGAGGTGATTAGGGTTTGAGCTGTAGACCACAGAATGCCACACACACTCTCTTGTTGCACAAGCACAGGACTGTAGCCACTTCACACAGTCAGATATACATTCAGTGACCTTGAATCTAGGCCTGTTTCCAAATCTGCATCAAGAAATGTCAACTTGGAATGATAAATAGAAAGTCTTCGGTTGATAATTCCATTTCCTAAAGAATCCCTAATATCTCTAATACCTGTGTATGTCTGCGGCTGATTTTATATACTCTCCGGAGGATGCTTCCGGAGAAACCGGCTTGGCTGACTCTAACTCAATTATGTGGGTGGGCTAGTTATGACAGAAGACTATGGTATCATTATTCTAAAACTTGCAGAGGTGTATGTGGAGAGACTGACTGAAATGTTTTGGCAGCTAATGCCCAACAAAGCTCCCCTCGCCCTTGGATAGAGCATGGCGGTGCTTCAGACGAGTACTGGCTTCCAAACAGCCTAGGCCAAAATTCACATCAGTGACTCACAACCAGCATGTAGAAGCACTGGTAACACTTCAGAACAAGGCTCAATTTGTTAATACTAGGGGTGTCCCCGACTATTTTCATA